GATTCTATTAGCGATACAACAGCACCTAAACAAGTGTTCCAATGAAGATAAATAGGCAATTGCTATCGCCAAATGTATACGGAACGCACTGTTAGAAATTACGATGTGTATTTAAATTGTGATTTACCCTTATGTGATAACTATCCAAATAAATTGTCCCTTTTGGTTGTGCCCTTCAAATTAGATGACTCGCATGAAATTGAATTGATTCATAAAGCGCAATTTGTGTATGTTAATGAAGAAAAGTATTTCTTACTTACTGATGTTCTTCTCATTTTTATTATTCATTATTATTTTATTATTCTCTTCTAAATATGCTTCAAAATAAATTAGATAACTTTATATTATGGTTATTTTAATATTAAACTCTTCTTATATTTGATTATTTTAGTTTGAACAGCAATATAGAGGCACCTAAACCTAAGCGTTTCTTTACAAAGTTTTATTAAATAAAACAAACGCGGCATGTAATACACAAAAGAAGAATTAAATCGAGACTTAATTTCAACGTAATTTTTTCGCATTGACCGCAAAGCCAGATAGGTAAAGAATTTTAATTTAGAATGTAATAACAAAGTTTATGTAGCATGTAATAACGAACAGTTATAAAGCCGAAGAATATCTGAGGACCCTTAAAAAACTTTAAATTGCACTGCAACTCTCAACAACTTTTTTTAGATTAACGGAGTGCGCCGAGATACAGCGGACGCGGTTTTTATCTCTCGGGCTTTTTTTCAGCGAGAAACATTGAAAATATTATTTATTTCTAGTTTAGTTTCTGTATATGTAAATGTCCGAAAGGTTTATTCGAGTGTTTATTTAGGTAAATGTTTCTTTTACAAAATTATACCCTATGAAAAATTAATTATTTATTTTATCTCTTCTAATTATTTATACAATTCATCATGGTGATACAACCATGATCTACTTCAAAATAATATTTCATTAATGTTTCTATAAAAGTTTGCAACATAATATAAATTTATAAAATAATTTATTCTCAATTTAACTTTTTTCTCCTCAAAATAAAACTCCAAAAAAAATGTTAATTTTTTTGTTCCCGTGGGATGTTTTCGTCTAAATTTATATTTTTTTTCCTTTGTGTATGATATGATGAAATGAATTCCAGCGGTTGTTTTTTATCAAAAAGTACAAAGCCCATAAAACCATTCCATCTCAATATTGAGTAATAAAACACCAACATCTACTGTTGACAAAAAAAAACAGAAAATGCTTGCAAATTAATAAACATGTCGTTTTTAGTCATTACGCTGCGATATTTTATTAAAATTACCTTCTTTTTTCAACTTAAACGAAACCAAGGGATTGTTAAAAAAATGAGTTGGTGGTGGAAATGATTATTGTCTTTGAAGAAGCCTTCACTGAAAATTAACTAAATGAAATACAGTCGATGCCTTGCAGCATTCAAATTTATGTTGCTCATTCGCCACAAATTTCTTGTTTCACAATTTCCAGCCTTAGGTACTTATTTGTTGTGTTCCTAATAACATTTCATGCAAAATTCAGATTTCATACAAAAGCAAAATTAGAGAGAAATTGGTATGTATACAACGGAAAATTTAGTGAAATGAAAACAAACGTAGAATGTATTCGATATTCTGAAGCTACAGTGGAATAATCTTTTACTAAGAAAATCTAGAGATATTATCCTGTTAAACATTTCAATGGAACAATTAGGTAAGCTTCATTTTCTGGTTAAAAAAATCCTGGTTATAAAAATTATGTTACGTTTATTAGTTTATTAGGTATATTTAAGGTTTGCATTTTCCAAAGGAAGGTATAAAGTACCATTGTTGTATAATATAATTGATTATGTAATATTAGCTGCCATCATAGTCATGAGAATAATGAGTAATTCCCTATTAAAAGAGCTGATTATGGTGCATGTGGGAATCGTAATTCAGAGTACAGCGACAGATTTGAAATTATTTATATCGATGGGACAGAAAGGACCATTTGCCGCCCTCGGTTTCCCAAACCAGAATATATGTGCTTTATAATACAAATTAAATGACACTTATGCATGAGTTCTGAATAGTTCTTCTAGTGTTCAAGTATCAAATAGTTCATATTCAACCATAGGTAATTTAAATCTTAACACTTTAGTTAAAATTAGTTTATTCCCTTCTAATTATTTGTTTTTATGAACTATAGATCAAAATTTCTTAAGCTGCATGCTCATCGTCCCCTACTCGTTTAATCGGCTTAAATATTAAGGGTTTATACGAGTATTTTGCTTAGTTTTGAAATTAAAACAAGAAATGTATTTCAAGCATTTGCATATAAGGGTCACAGCAAAGTTAATTCATTTAATCCCACATGAATATAATTTATATTCACATATTAATTAAAAAGTAATGAAATACATGTATTACTTTTCATAATAATAAAAATAATAATGTCAAGAGACTTAAGTAATTTTTTACAACACACACATTCAATCTAACAGAAGATTATTTTTTATAAAAAAACATTTGTACCCTTTATGAGGAAGAATTTTTTTCATTTCTCCCGAAAGCCTCGCCCAGAAGTCTATCGGACTGCAGATAAGAAAAATTTTATTTCTCTATCTTGTCGCAAGGGAAATCCCTAAATGGAGTATCCGCACCGATGTCCTTCCATTTTATTCATCGAAACATTTATTTCATACTATATACTCGCCTAATGTAATTGAGCCTCAATTTTGGAACAATATTTACTGCACTCAACCTATAGGTGTCTACACAATTTATTTTCAGGACACTTGAATCTAAAGGAGTTATTTATTGCCATGAAAGGATGTTTTTGGCAAAATATACTTTTATCGCACTCGCTAGTGGGGTGTAACAAGTTTATGTTAAAAATAACAAGCTCGTGAAGCCGAGCTCATGAAGCTTAAGCTACCCTGAATGTGTTGTTTCATTAAATTCGAGCATGTAAATTAAATTTTCAAGCTTTGTGGAAATATTAGTAGCAAAAAGTCGTTAGTAAAAGTTAGTAAAAATAAAAATCAATGATGAATAAAAGTTATTATAAATGTATACAGAAATATTAGTCAAAGAAAATCCAATCTTTCTTGTAATTATAGTTGCGTTCTTTGAGCTGGCTTCCGCGAACTTCATTAAATTCGAATCAAAACGAAACACTTGAATTTATTTTTACTTTTTTCAGTTTGTTTTTCTTAAGACTCCATTTAGCTCCGCTCCGCAATGAACTGTTGAACGTTTTCCAATCGTCAATGGCGCTTGTTACTTTTTGTTTATTTTGGTTTTTATGCGATACTTCACAAAATTGACTTTTACGTCTTAAGGCTTTCGGTTCCTGTAACTTCGTCATTCGTCTATTCGATTGTAAAGATTGAAACTGTAGAGCTCTAACGTTGTTGTTTTGACCTCGAGGTTCAAAAGAGGAAACGACGAAAGTTGATGAGTATATAGAGAATCTATAGATTGTGGACTATTGTTGTTGCAGTGCACATTTGAATTACACATAGTTGATGTTCTGCAATTTGTTTTTAATCATTAAAATTAATTAAAAAAACTCACCATACTTTCACGTCATTTACCTTGAACGTTCGTTTATAGTTTTTACGTGCTTCATTCATATTTTTGGATGATCATAATGTTCCTCAACTTAAAATTATACCCAATTTTTAGGAAGCATCGAATTTATGTGGCATTTTTTTGTTGACTTCATAAATGCACATCCTAGTTATTTATGTGTAACTGTATTTTTTATTTATTAATATTCATCATTCAATATCAATGTCCTTTATCGATGCCCGCAGATTTTTTGGATACGTGCAACGTTTAATCAGCACAAACTGTTTTGATGCTACGCGTTTACAAATTATTTGTAGGTACTGGTATTTTGGTATTGCAACATAAATTAGTTTAGCCCTAATTAATTCCTCTTTGAGATGCCGTTTAACCGTCATGTTGTAATAATTATACAAAGTGACCTAATATATTAAATTTACAATTAGTTTTCATCTAAACATAACTATATTATGAACGAATACCACACTAATTAATTGAATATGTATAGATAATATTATATTAAATATTTTAAAATGTACATGTGGATTAAAAAGGATGCTGTTGGGATTTCGAAGTGTAACATTCCCTAACGTTTGTAGGTATAAACTTTTATCAATAATTTTTGCGCGGTTTAAGACGCCGTTAGGGTTGAAGATAGAAAAATAAAACGCCCGAACTTTCGGAATCCGATGCAATAAAGCCCATCTTACATCGAGGACCCGGCATCCAGATTGAAGATAGTAATAACAACAAGAGGAATATCAGGACATTGAAATTTTTACAGACTCATAAAAACACACGAGCAATATTACCCTTACGAGCAACACTTTATGACAGTTTGAAAAATTTATGAATACAGTGGTACGTGTAGTAAATGTACGATGTTCCGAGGAAATTTAATGCCTTTAGTTCGTCGAAGGATAATTTTGAACATATTTTACCTAAAGTAATTGCCTTAACGTAGCGTTGAACCATTTGAAATAAAATGAATTTACATTTACCTATACCTTGTGTGCACCTACATATGTACCCAGTAAATTAAATATAATTAGGTTTTCTAATTTTCTAAATTTCTATATAATCTTAACTACTATTTAAAAAAAAGGAAACCAGCAAAACGCGAGTTTGAGCGGTAGAACTAATAATTGAATGTATATCAGAAATGTTTCAACTTTGCTCCTTAAATTACAAACTGCTTCAATTTTATACGTATATCACTTGAAACTCTATAGAGAACTTCGCTCGGAGTTTAACCGACAGACAACTAAATATCACTTGATAACTGGTCTTGATAAATTAGATTTCCAGCGTTATTATGACGTTGAAGTGTTATTAGGAGTGAATCGAAGTTTCGATGGCGTCCGATGGCAGAAAGAACTTCCTCGCTTAATACCTGCTTAATTAATTTCCTGTTTTTTTGCTTCAGAAACGAATTAATAGGAATTAATAATGAATAGGTAATTATTGTTAATTTTTTATTATATATATTATATATCTTATTAACTAATCGCATTGTACTGCAGTAATTGTTGAAAGTTGAAAAAGGACTGTTTTGTGTGTTTTCGGTGATATTAAGTTTTACTACGAGCAAAGACCTTCGTAATATGGATCTTCCTCACGGCAGTTATATGCTGGTGGTCCATTTTCGTAAACGATCCTATGAAGAATGTTACCACCGGGGCCGTAATTGCAACCAAAGTAAAATACATTCCATTTGCCTTTCTTGTAACGAACCATCGCACAGCCGATTTTCTTCGTTCGTCCCCAAACCAATTGGGTATAATGACCGATCATTTTTCCTGACTCCGGTCTAAAACGCGTTATCTCTTAGAAATTATTGTTTATTATATGAGAGAAATTTTCATACAACGCGAAATGTGTCCAATTGCTGGGATAATCCACGACTTCATCATACCAATTGGTTATCATTTTTTTTATTTGACCTGTAATGTTCACTCTGTCTGTTCTGCTAGTTGTTTGATACAGGGCTAAATTTTGACCTACGTACGTGAAATTTTCTGGAAAGGAACATCGCTTTCTTAATGGCATTTTGTAAAACAGCATAAAATTGAAGAATAGAATAAATTGAGGACCAAAACATCGATCCCTGTACAAAATGCGACAAGATATGAAAATGGAACAAAAACTAGTCAGAATAAGTCATAGTCATAGAATAAGTCATATAGTTCATAGGTTCTAGGTCATGGATTCATTGGTCATATAGGTCTATGGTTATGAGTCATGATTCACCAAGTTATCTCCATTGAGTAATGGTTCTCTAAAGTTATCCAACCCTCCGTGTCTAACAATTAGTAGGTATATACATGGATTTCTTTATTTTTCTCCAACTCAAAAAGTTTTTTTGAAAACACTATTTTTTTGTTGTACTTACTTGTTCTTCTACATTCGTCATGTGCAAATTCACAACTGTTTAGCCAACATTGTACGACGTATTCTAACTCTCCATTGTATGACTAAAAATTAACTAACATATATGGCTGAAAATTAAAACAAAACAAAACACCCAAATATTCATATAGTTAAGCGTGAAGCAAATTAAATTGGATATAAATATTTAAATCACTTACTAATGCATACATTTGGGCAGAAGAGGGTTGTGGTCCAGGATCTCCTCTCCTTTCTTCTCCAATTGCCACCATGTTTCTGAACGTATTATGTTGGTCGACAATTAATTGTTTTTGTGCATCCGTCAATTTTATTATTTTAAATTTACTCCCGCATTTTGGGCCTGGACCACAATTCTAAATTGTAATTATAAAAGGAATATTTATTTCATATTCAAGCGTACCATTTAAATTTTAGTAGGTATAAGAAAAATTCTAATTAGACTACTCTTTTAATATTTTTTTAAATCTTTTAGGTACACATTCCTCTTCGCAGTAAAATACTTACATAATCTTTTCGTTTGCAAACCGTATTCGGTATTCCGTTGCAGGATAATTCGCAGTAGTCAACATCCCGGGCACTATTTGCATTTAAATACAGCAAAAATAGAAGAACAGTTTTGTTAATCATTACTGCAGTTTTATGTGAAGCAAATTGAAACGTTAGGCTCGTTTTTATATTCAATCGCTTGTCAACGCAATACTGAACAGTGATGGAATAGCACTGACTAATTTACGAAAACACGAGAAAGGTGTAACCGTCTTTATTTCTAAATTATACGAGTGGTTATCACATTTTTATAGCACATTTTTTTCAAAAATAGTTTATTTAATTATCAAGCATGCATTGCATTATTATTTATTACATATGGAGGCATTTTATTTTCAGCTTTATTTCATACAGTCTTTGTTATTTTTCTCTTTATTTTAGCTTTAGTTTGCATTTTATTTAATACAGCCTTTCTTATTTTTCTCACAATATTATTGCAGTTAACAATTTCATAATGATAATTTAAAAAAATTAAATAAATATCAAATTTAAACATAGTTATGATCAGTCGAAACTGAACATCCAGAACATCATTAATAAATTAAAAAAATCGTTTAGCTGTCCCCCCGTAAAATGCTTTTTAAAAATACTTCGTGAATAAGCTTTAATTACTTTTAGTCACGTTAATATACATAGTTATCAACGTTTTAACTAATTAAATTTATTATGAACACAAATGTTGCGTATCTATAAAAGGTTCAATAGTGCATTTTTCAACGGTGCATATTCAATTGGAACTGAATAACAATAAATAGAAAGTATAGTAAATATTCCATTGTCTTTTTGATACAATTTTAATATAATAAGAAAAGTTTTTTCATGTGATTTTTCCATGATTTTATTCTTCTCTACTAAATATGAACAATTTTTTGTAATTTCCGCCTAACCAATTAATTTATTTGATAATTTCGTTTTAAAGGTAGCAGCTAAACTTTAAATTATTTACCAAACTTTACGTTTGATTGCTGCATTAATACCGGAGTATCGGCTTGGAATGAATGAACCAGATATATGGTATTTGTGGTTTGGTCGATTTTCATGTCATATCAGCTGCAACTGTTATTAATTAACCAGCCCATTGTAATAAATCGCGTCACTCTACTATATTGTCAGATATGGTCGTGTAACAATATGAACATAAAGGGGCATTTATAAAATATCTGCGTTTGTTTTATTGTCTCATCGTCGCACGTAGTCATCATGATATTCGGAATATTGTTTAATTAACGATTAAACTTTGGTAAACATTATTTATATTGGTGTATAGAAAAATGAAGCTGATTTTTATTGTGTTAGTTGTTAGTTTTTTCTTATAGATTTTCACGTTTAAAAACAAATTTAATCTACATATAACTATGTATATAGACACAAATAAAGTTCCATCAACTCAATAACTACAAAATAAGTAATAGCACTAAGGGAGTATTAAAAGTATTAAAGTGAGTATAGGCAATATTAAAGTTTTTTAAGTATCCACCTTTTAATACCAAACCTTTTTGTCGAATTTAGCTCATCCTTGCCGGGAACACTTGTAGGTAAATATTAAAAATCTCAGCCATATTATATTATTCAAGCAATAAGTAGTTAATGAAGAAAATGTTGTTATACGTATTTTAATATTTATGGTAAACCGTATCTACTAAATATTCGAAGGCAATGATTTACTGAAAATCGCTTTAAAATTCATTTTGATTGGACAACTAACACGTAATAATGGCTCTGTGAAAATTATACCGCTTTCATGTGGTAAAAAATGTAATTGCTTGGAAAATATTTGAAAGTTGAATTTTCCACAGTGTTGTTGTTCCGTCCAACGTGGGGTTAAACACCTGTATTTTTTTAGTTCCGTTTAGTATGGAAATTTTTAAAATGTATCTACATATTATAGCCATTTATACGGAATTTTATATTGCCGCTATTAAAATATATTTATGAATGTATTCTTAAAATAATATACTATAAATAATGTGCATTTTCATGAATTTTTTAAGCTTATTAAAATGCATACCAAAATGCAGTTCATTTCATAAAAATATGTGTCGATAAATTGCATTGTCAATCATTGTCAAAAAAACCCTATGTCAATTAAAATTTCAAGTTTAATCAACGATATTTTCCTTAAAAGGGTCTAAAACCTGCAAAAAAATGAGTGTGAAATAAAATTACAAATAAGCAAAGAAATCCCAGACTTCTTGCAATGTTCTCGTGAGTACAGATGGTCAGATTATCACAATAGCTTAATTTTATTATCTTGTCGACACCGCCATTTGCACTTGTAAACTTTCCTGCTTCATCAAAATGATTAGAATGAAAAATTTTTCGAAACTTTCTTATTTTTATATTAAGTTTGTCAACAAATTCAATGTTTTTGAACCATTATCTACCAATATCATGTATCTTTACGTCAAGACATGGGTCTTTGACATCGATAGAATAAAAATTGATTTAATATTGACAGTTCATTGTTTAATAAAGATAGCAGGAATTTAATTCCTCCCTCTTTAATTGTCCCTTAAGTCAGCTGGCCAGATTTTTTTTAATCTCCTGTTGAGTCGTGGTTCCAATAATGGCTGTAGTAACGTATTTGGGTGAATTTCTAGGTTATCGTGGTGTTTGTTACTTCTCTCCTTGATGACATCTTTAACGTATGGAATTTTTAGATCAACATGTAGTTTATGATTGCTTATAAACCAGGGCGAGTTAGTGATCATTCTAAGTATTTTTGATTGACATCTCTGTATTATGGAGATATTCGATTTACTTGCGCAACCCCAGATCTCTACTCCATAGGTCCAAATAGGTTTGATTATTGTTTTATATAGGAGAACTTTATTGTCGATAGATAGTTTGGAGTTTCGCCCAATCAGCCAGTACAGTTCTTTTATTTTTTGGTCAATTTGTTTTCGTTTTTTTATGAAGAATTTTCGATATGACATAGTAGCCTTATCGGTCGGTAGGATTCCACTTTACTTGGATCTTTCCCTGCTTTTAGGATAAGGATGATTTCGGCAGTTTTTAGTTGCTTTGGCCAATGATTTAATCGAAGGATTGCATTAAATATGTATGTGATTAGTACTACTTATGATATTTTTAATAGGAATCATTCTCCATGATTATTTTACTTACTATTTTTACGGCAAATTTAATAATGGTATAGGTACTGGACTAAATACCAATGTTTGAGTATGAATATTTCTCTTACTTGCAATTTATTATTTCATTACGATGAAAATAATGGGCATAATTTAGCCCATATGTCATCAAAAATTTTTCATTGTCTAGGTCCGATCTGAATGGAGTTTTTAGAACAATTTTATTCTAAACGTATAGTGTATTTGCATTTTCAAAATTACAATTAATTTCTATGTGTAATTTTTCGAATTTCGATTAAATTCTAAGAGTAATATACGATAATTTAAGAGTGTCTTTGTTGTTCCACATTCACATCGTTCTTTACAAAGAGCAGACTCAACAGTTCCCCCTCGTAAAATGTGACGAATTACTACGCTTCGGATAAAAAGATCTCACAAAAATAGGATGTTTAATTTGACAAATGCCCCCTTTTATACTGCGACAAGTATAATGGAAAAATTTACTTACGCGGGTTCCAGAACCACACTTTATTTAGTAGAAAGGATAATCGAGTGAGATTCCGCAAAACCCCTTATTTAAATGCAGTTGTGCTGATGAAAATTTCTTAGCCGTTTGAATCTGTATATGAAAATGCTTCTTATTGTATCAATAGTTTTATAAACATGGAAAAATTTATAAGCATGAATTAGTCAAATTAGTACTATTACAATAAGCTTGTAAGTACCTAATGATTCATGCAAATGGTTCATTCATTTGCCTCATTTTAAAACAATGACACAAATGAAACGATAACATAACATGTTTTCCTGGTAAAATCAATATTCAATTGGAAATCCGTTTCAACTTTCTTGGTAGAGATGTTTAATGATGAGCTTGTTCGGTGGAAAGGTCTCATTAATCACATCTGACTATGAAATACGACGTGAGAAAGATGTTAAAATGTTTTTAAAATCGAATCCATTTTCGTGAATAACTGCCGAATGAATAATGTATAGTGGTTTCGAAGCCGCCGCACAGGTTCTTGTTTATGAACCTAATAGCGGGAAACAGAGAGACGGATAATAAATATTGTAGAGGAAAATTCGTTAAAAATTCTCATTTGCTCTAGGGCTACAAGACTTCCTAACCGAGATCTCGTATAAAACCGATTTCACAATGGGAATTAACTTCGACAACCGAGCTTTACCACTCTTTACCGAGCTTTTACTTCGAATATTTGAAAAGGTTTTATACCGACTATTTATACCTAAACATCCAGTAGTAAATAACTCTTCAACTTTGTTAATATTGAAAGCTTTGAATCCTCGAATAATCAACCGCTAAATCGCAACTTTTGTCTACTTATACTTTGAAAATAATTTCGCTTGAATTTAAATTTTTAATTTAAATAATATTGCATGGTTATTGTTTGGACAAGTAATGGAAGTTATAAAAATTCAGAAACTTATTTATGAAACAATATGTACCTATCGCAATACGTTTTAATTGAAAGATTATTAAAGTTCAAAAACAGGTTTTTTAAGAAGTTTTGCATAAAGCAAAGCTTTTTGTTACGATGCAATTTATTGAAGAATTCCTCTTAAATCCGTCATTACACTATAATTATTTAGTTAATAAAAGTTATTAGATCGTATAAGTAGATATGATGAGTCTCCAGTAGACTAAGACTAGAGGAAAATTTATTAGAAACTCTCTAGGGCCAGTACAAGCGACATTGTGCTATATAAAAATGCTACATTACATTCTTTGAAATTATAATGATCGTCAATATTAAAAATGCTGCGGAAAATTCTGTAGCAGCTTATAATAATTATCCTTCGCCACAGTAATTCACCGTCGTCAGTTCTCCGAGTTTGCTAATTAAATATCTGAAATGAATTTCGTGGTCTTGGATTCGGTTCAACGATGATACATATTGTTCGTTCATTTATCTTATATTATTCGGCTATTCGAAATTATTTTATTTTACTGTTAATAAAGTGAGAAGTTAGTTGGAAATTTGGAGAAGGAATTAGAGAGGTCTAGGCGAATAATATTTAATGTTAGTGAAGGGTTACGATTTCTTTAAATGTACAGTTTATTGA